ACCTAACATGATATAATTTAGCAGCACCAATGATAATATAAACCGTTATTGTGAGCTTCCTAATAAGATGAATGAGAAATATACATTACCAATGTAGCATTTTTGCTACAAATGTTTAACCTAAATATAATAAAGAGAAAACAGACAAATCCAGATTATACCACATCCACTAAGACAATGACAAATGGCACAGAAATTCTCCACAAAGACTTTTTTTTTCTAAAAGTTGAGATTTGAGAACTAGTTTGTTTAGGATGTGGTGTGGAAGGATAGAACAATGGCCCCCCAAGGATGTTCCCATCCTAATCCCTGAAACCTGTGAGTACATTAAATTACAGGCAAAGAGGCATTATGATTGCAGGTGGAATTAAAGTTATTAATCAGCTGACCTTGAAATATGGAGATTATCTGGGTGGTTAATTATCAAGGTAATCACAAGCGTTCTTAAAAAGGAAAGAGAGAGGCAGAGGAGACCCAAAGAAATGATATTGTGAGAGGAACCCAGCCTGATATTGCAGGCTTAATAGATCAAAGAATGGAGTCATGAACCAAGGAATGTTATCACCTCAAAAGCTGGAAGAAAACAAAAAACAGACTCTCCTAGAGACTTTCTGCCAACACCTTGACTGTAGCCCAATATGGCTTATTTTGGACTTCTGACTTCTAGAACTGTAAGATAATATATTGTTTTGTTTTTAAGCTAATACATTTTTGGTAATTTGTTACAGAAGCAATAGGAAACTACTAAAAATTACATGTGAGGGAGAAGAAATCACCAGAAAAATTATTGGGATGGAGGTGCAATTCACAGAATGGTGAAGCCCTGTGATGAAGCCTTCCCAATGAGGCTTGGGAAGGAATTAATTTAACTTTGAGCACAAACCTGGGACATGAGGCAGTCAGTCTCATGAGGGGCACAAAACAACTTCTTTCTTACTACAGCTCTGCTTCTTTTAAGCTGTTCCAACTTGGACAAGATATATAAATCCTCTGTGTTCAATCTCTTTGCCTGAAGTGGGAATAATAATAGCACCCTAATAATTATAATGGCCTGCTTTATAGGGTATTATATAGAATAAATGGGATAATTTATGCAAGGTCCTTTTACTTGGCGTGTGCTCAAATGTTGGTTAATAATGATGATGATGATAATATAGAAGACACACTTCCTGTGCAGTGTTTTAGTCACCACAGGCCACAAAACAACTTAACCACTTGTTTTATGACTATATGGTCAGTGTAGGAATGAAGAATGTAAATTACCTTGCTTCCTTGCCAGCTACACTATTTAAAATACTGTAGACTTGTGCGTATACATGCAGATGCAACTGCATTCATTTTGAAAAATAACTCTGCCTTTATTTTAATTAGTTTTTTTTGAGTGTAACTTGTTATTTGCTTTCTGCCTTCTCTTCCCCACACCCCTTTTTTTGTTTTGTTTTTTGAGATGGGGTCTTGTGATGCTGCCCAGGCTAATTGTTAACTCCTTGGCTCAAGTGTTCCTTCCACCTTCCACCTTCCACCTCAGCCTCCCAAGTAGCTGAGATTACAGGCATGTGCCACCATGCCCAGCTGCATTCATTTTATTTATTTAGAGAAGGAGTCTCACTCTGTTGCCCAGGCCGGAGTGCAGTGGGATGATCTCAGCTCACTACGACCTCCGCCTCCTGGCTCAAGAGATTCTCCTGCCTCAGCCTCTTAAGTAGCTGGGATTTCAGGCACCAGCCACCATGCTCAGCTAATTTGTTGTATTTTTAGTAGAGATGGCATTTTACCATGTTGGCCAGGTTGTTCTCAAACTCCTAACCTCAGGTGATCGGCAGTGTTCACGCCAAGGGCTTGAGACAGTTAGCATGACTCGCCCCATCATCACTGCTTGCCATTGCTGCTTGTTTTCTTGTATTGCTGATGTGCTTGCCATGTGTCTTCCGCCTCTTGTTCTCCACCCTCTGAGAAGTGCAATTGAAGGTGTTTGCCCTTCATTTGCAAAGTAAAAAACCAGGAAATGCAGTGTTCACGCCAAGGGCTTGAGACAGTTAGTGTGACTCGCCCCATCTTGGCTGCTGGACCTAGCTGCTCTCCCCCCGCTCTTGAGTCGAGGTAAAAATGGCTAAGCCACTGAGGCAAAAACAGAATGCAGAGTAAGGGCCTGCAGTTTCTGAGGACATTGTGCTGACTGCTTCATATCCCCTTTAGTCTCTGTGTAAGCAATAGGCTTGCTGCAATTGAGGTGCCTGAGAGGGACAGAGACCTCTGCCCATATTTTCTCAGGAGCTGAGCCTTTGCTCTACCTCCTGATGGAAAAACATAGTTAACAAGCCATCTTAAGGGCACCATTGTTTGTTTGCACTGTGTATCTTTGAAAAACATATATTAACTCTTAAACTGCTTGTAAGCTATTATCACAAGCCCCCTTAAACTGCTTTGTAAGCTATAATCACAAGCCCCCTTAAAACTGCTTTGTGAGCTGTTATCACAGGCCCCTGATAACTATTTTTGCATGATTTCTGTTCCCTTTTCTGTTTGCCCCCTTTTCTGCTGAGCTAAAGTAAATGTAACAAGAAAAAGGGTATAAAAGCTGTCACCTACAGAAATAAAGTTGCTGTTTGACTGCAAGTCACTCAGACCTCCAGACTCCACTTTTCTCTCTTCTTTTACTTCCAGGCACTCTCTCCCTCAGGTTGAACAAGACATCTACGTTGGTGGTCTCGAGGGCTCCTGCAGGTCAGTAGCCCCCCGGCAGACGTGCCAGACCCCAACAGTGATCCACTTGCCTTGGCCTCCCAAAGTGCTGGGATTTCAGGTGTGAGCCACCATGCCCAGCCATGCATTCATTTTTAGAATTGATATTTTGTACCTTTTTTAAGCCAGATCTTGGATTTGCTTTTACAAAATCTATGCAGCTGGCCTAAAGCCCAGTGAGAATGTTATTCTCTGGGAGTACTGGAGCTGGGAAATAATGGTGTCCAATCCTGTGGCCTGGACTTACAGAAGGGTAGAAAGTGTGTAGATGCAAGCGAGACTAACAAGAGTTTCAAGAAAAGGAGAATAATGCAACTTGCTTAAGTAGGATTTATTATCACTATACCCTCCTTCCATGAAAAGCTCCACATTTTCTCCTTGAAAACAGAGCTCCTCAATACTAGGGTAAAAGGCAGATATTTTTACACATTTCTGAAAGTGAGTATATCCTAGTTGCTAATTAAACACAAAGTTTAGTAAGACAAGGTGCTTGCCCTAAAGAGCTCAAAGTCTGGTGGGAGACTGGCACTCAAACAATTAACAGTGATATTAAAAGTTTGTTTCAGGAAGAACGAGACCAAGTTCTTAGCGTAACAAAGGGCAGTCCTCCAGAGAGAAGTGTAAATCAAAGTCCTCTGGTAAATGGGAGGTCTGTTTTCTAACTCCTATCCACTGCCTCATTATGTATTAAACTTATTCTGTCTTCCAGTAAGTATATAGAATAAAGTGACTCTCAATTAATTAGAACCCAAGTTTGTAAAAAAAATGCTATTTTTCAACTCTGGGTGGAAAGATTTTACTGACAAACCTCTGGGCTATTTCCAGTTTTTGGTTATTTTGAATAAACCTGCCATGAACAAGTGCCTTTGTGGGCATATTTTTATTCATCTCAAACATCTCAAAGTAGAATTTCCTGGTCAGAGAGCAGGTGCACATTTAGTTTAAAACTTTTGTAGGAGGGAATCAATAAAGATTAAGTGAGACTGCTTAAATACACATTGGCTAAAATGAAAAGATTTTTTCTTGTTGTGATCACACCAGTTATCTACCAAGGATAGCAATTTTACTTAAAATTTAAAAAAAATCTTTTATCATAATTTCATTCTCAAAACTTGGATCTCATCTAAATCAAGGAGAATGTCTTAATGAGGGTGCTATTCATTTGTAAACTGTTGCTCTACTGGATCCACATTCTGCCATTTTGTGCAATTACTAACATCCTATTTCATACCTCGTTTGACTGAATCCTCTGCTCTTCAACAGAGAATGATTGTTTAGCTGGGGAAACTCGTCATAAAAGAAGTTCAAACTATTGGTAAAATTCTGGGCTGTACCCTATCAAAAGCTTTTTGTGGACCACCCTCCTCCCCTATCAAAATACATTTTTTCCAAATTAAAAAAAAAAGTATTTCGTTCTGAAGGAGAAACTTTTTTACCAGTCACCTTAGAAATATAAGATTTTATCCGTCCTGCTCATTTCTAAGGTATTTGCTTGCAACTTAAGCAGCTTGTGATGCAGGATCTCCAAAGTGTTTCTTTCCCTGTTAACTGAATTAGATGCCTCATTAAAGACTCTGACAGAGCAAGGCAAAGTTCTGAACTGGAAACAGATACCGCTAATCCAAACATTAACCAACTACCTGTAGAAATTGAGGCTATAATCCATATATGTCATCACAAGGACTTAGAATGCCATCCGCAGGGCACTTCTGGGACTAGACTGGCAAACCACCAAAGCTGAGCTGTCAAGGCCCCTGTCTAGCAACCTTTTAACAAGGCTTTATTTGTATATGTTTCAGTATGTTTTTAACCTTGGATTAGAAGGTATAAGATAAAGATTTGACTCACCGACTGAACTTTTCAGCAATGTAGATTACTGAAGCCAGATTCTGTCTGTTGGAAAACCAGAAAGAAGACTCCTGGTTTAAATAGGGATTTTAGAAAGTCAGAAAGGAGACACAGTGCTATTAACTGAAATGGACACAGACATGATTTCCTATGTTGCAGTACCTGTCATCAGAAAATCTCAGTACCCTTTATAAGAAGGCCCTCAGAAAAAGCTTTTATGTAATTGGCAAGAAATTATAAGATAGAAGGCAGAAGTCTCCATGATTTAGTCAAAGATTCTCCTGGGCATTTATACAAAGCTTTTTCCTAAAAGTCAAGTCAGCATATTCTTGTCATTGAGAATTCAGAATAGAGAGTCTGAAAGTAAAAATACAGTCTTATATTAACATTAGGCTCTTGGAAGACATAAATCTTTTTATAAAATATTTATTTCTCTGTAAATAAAAAATCCAACATCAACAAACAATAGTCCAGTGGAAAAATACTAGCCAGTAACATTGAAAACTTTTTTCTTAATTTAATAAATAGAACTTTGGCATTCAAAATTCTAGCTGTAAACCCTATTAAAAAACAAAACAAAACAACAACAAAAAAAAACCCCTTTACAAAAAAAGAGGCAAGAATGATAGATCAGAAGGCGTAAGTCAAGCCAACCAGTGGCTTCACATTCTTTTTTTTTAATATAATAACTATATTTCAGTTAAGTCATGAACACTGTATTTACACATGAGGTATTCTGAGTGGTTCAAAAACTGAACCTAGTTTACAAAATCACCAGTCAAAGTGACTGATTATACACTGTGCTGTACTTTTAATGTAACCACCTAGCACCTTACTACTTCTTGTCATCACACCAATGCGAAGTTTTATATTTAATGTGTTTTAACTATTTATACATATATGTATATATACATACACATAAATGAATACATTCTAAAGGTGTTCCGGCTCACTACACAAGGAAGGCTGGGCTCCAAAGACACATATCTGATAATTCCTCTCATGTTTACTAAGGTATCCACTTAGTAATAAAGAACGGCTCCTTGCTTAAAAAAAAATCCTTAATAAAGTCTATTTACAGAATAACAAGGTGCAATAATCATCAACATTCTTATAACTCATGTAAAATAGAAATAAATGCTTACTGCAGGCAAAAAGGCACAAAAGGTTTTCTCGGTATACAGCTGCAATAGTATTATTAGACTTACTGATTTAAAACTGTATTCTTATATTCAGCAGTACTTTTAAATAAGAAAAAAATCCACAATCTTTCCCCTACATGATTAAATATATGATATGATCATATGACAATATGCCACCCACAGCATTTTGAAGCAAAGTTGTAAATTTTGCTCTTTATACCAAATAGAAAATTGTTTCTGTTGTTTTGTGAACACTGAATTGTCAAAAATGGAAACAAAATTAATTAACTTTGGCTTGGGGAGGTACAGTCACTGGCAGTTTCAAATGATATAGTCTGAGTGAGCATGGTTGTGAAAATTGCTTATTACCATAATTACGTATCTACAATGATAGAATTCCTAAGTAAGAGAATGCCAATAATCCAAAAGCTGAACTATGCTATATAAAAATATAGTCCACGTTCTCAGCTACTATGTAACTTAACGAACTATTACTGATATTTAAAGAACATTTTCCCAATTAAGTAGCTCCTTTAAAAATATCCTCTAAGAAATTAGTGAGTCTTAGACTCTTACAGAATTACTTTATAAGCTCCTCAGTATATCAGAAATGTATTATATTCATTTTAGCAACACTTTCCAGACCTTGAGATTGTCTCTATAACAAGCTATTGAAATTAGGTTTAATAAACTGTTACCACCAAAATAAATTTCACTAAAATATAATACTGTTAACATTAAATATTGAATCCCATTTCAAATATATCATAAAAAGGTGCCACACTTGTTTTAAAATAACCTCAGGAATATCTTGCCTAGCCAATACTTGTGTGTGTGTGTGTGTGTTTTTAATTAGAGGCCACTGAAAATTAATATTTCAACTCAAGTCATCTTATTTTTTCTGGCATCAAATGAAAAGATAGCTATTGGGCCTTTGATTCAGTGAATTTTATCTGTAGAGGGAATTTGGACCTTTCATTAAGTCAACTGTTACTTTATCTTTGCTGTAATGTGACTGAGGCAGAATAAACTCAACTTTAAAACACCAAAGAACAATTAATACTAATATTAGATACAATACTTTCTAAAAAGACAAGTGTTTGATTCACAAAAAGCACAACTAAAAAGAGGTTTCATTATCTAAGGAAATTTTCAAATAGATTCACTTTAAAATTTAGTTTAATTTTAACTTCAGGGATATATTGCTGTCATAACTTCCATGAACATCCTAGTTCAAACTAGGTAAGACACTCTAGTGTTGCTATTTGCCCATCTTATTTGGTCTAACAGTAACATCTGTTTTTAATGTGATACAGAAAGGATGTTCTAATACAAGAGGGTGTCTTGGGAAAGAAAAATTTTCTGAAAAATCACAATCAAAAATTAAATACTGACAAACTAGAATACTATTAGTTTCAATTTCCCCACAAAATCCCTCCAAGTCTATCTACTGATTATTTAGGTCTCTTTACAAACTCCAGATTTTAAGAAGACCAATCTATAATTCAACTAACTACTTAAACTAGCACATCTTAACTCCATTTTTTATGGGGGGGTACAGATTTTGGAAAATGAAATTCATCAGCAGTAATTTGTTAATTTCCTACTAGGTCAGAAATTGTTTAACTTTAGAATTTTACTTTTAAGATATATGAGTTAAATTAAATTCTGTAAGCTTTAGAAAACTTACAAAAACAAATTAATTATTTTATTCCCAGCTAAGCCAGTAAATAAAAATGTATCTACAGTAGCATAAAACAAACAACTGTAACGTTTGCTTGTAACAACCCTAAAACCCAAAACATACTCTAAAAATCTAGGAGATATTTAAGGAAGAACCCACTGATCCAAATTAGTGATTGTTTGCCAATTCATTCTATTTTAGAAAGGCTTTATTTCCAAAATCATGGGGAGAGTGGTTGAGATTCTATTCAAAGAGAGTGTAAAAATATTTGCTGCACTTGCGGCTGATGTATTTTAGACGTTATTTTCTACTTTACTGTAAAAGACCAACGCTGAATTCTTTGTTATCACATTTTTGGTAGAAATTTACTATATCCTGATTATCTTCAAGCTACTCATGTTAAAAAACCAAGTGACTATATTAGAAAGTCAAGTTCTTACCAGTGACTAAGTCCCTCCTTAGGTTAAGGACCCTGGGATGCAGAAGCACTACAATGTACGGATTTCTTAATGCCCAGATCCTAAGAAGAAGAGCAGGAAGGACTCAGGCACTGAACAGAAGGAAAATCCGATGTCTTTACAGCATATTTTAACTGATTATTCAACTATAACTATAAAATAATTTATTCAGAGCTGTATATGCCAAAATCCAAACTGAGTGTCTTCCTAGGTAGGTTCCTTGAAGGCCTTGTCTCACATTTTCACTGTTAAATATTTAAGAAAAATCCTTCCTAGGAGAGCCTTTATACAGTATATAAGCCTGGCAAGAAAACAGGCACGTGATATGCTCTTTATCAAATCAATATTATCTTGCTTGAGTTACATCCTCTAACCTCCATCTCTTATTTAGTTTTGATATAACTGAGATTCAGTTGCATCAAGAAATCAAACCAACTTAACAAAGGACAAGGCTTTGGCCATAACTAAGTATATTCAAAAGAATGTAATCAATGCTCTGACGGCAATAAAATGTATAATCCTTCCAAAATACCAACAGAAGCATGGACAACACTCATTTGGAAGTTTAAATGACTGCATGTCTACTGAAAAATCAACTGCATTTCATAGTAATACCCTGTACACTTCAGATGAATATGGATCTGGCCAAGTCCATATTCTATGAAAAATTCTGTTGTTAATGTACTTTATCTAATAAAAGGAATTAAAATACCATCTGAATTAAAATGTTTTTATGCTACTGTTGATTCAGATATAAATAGTGTTGGTTTTTTCTTAAAGTAGTTTCAACTTTGAAACAGATACAAAACTGTTAAAATGTAAATGGTGAGATCTGGATAAGTAAGCTATTGTTCCAGAGTAACTTCATTAATTTTCTTTTATAATAATGGTCTGATGCCTTTATTAATTATATATAGCTTTGTTTACATTGATATATAACATATAAATAAAAAATTGTAAATAGCAAGGAACATGTTAAAATTAGTTCAAGTTAACATTTCTTGTAACACACACATTACAATGCTAAGGAAAAGAACATCATATCAAAATTTCACACCTCTTAAGAAATCCACAATCACTCTGGAAAAACAGCTGACCTATCTACAGTATTAAAATCAGCTCAACCACACAACATTATCAGTGCAATAAGTGTTCAAAATACAAATGGTTTTGCCTGCTATACCGTTACAACACTTGCCTGCCGTTGGAACTCTTGTTCAGGCAGCCACTGAAAATCCCAAAGTATAACACAAGCTCCTATATGAAAGATATAAGAATAAACAGCGTGTGCCTTTCTCAGGAGCTCTGCTCCTACCCTAGAAACCCTTATAAATTTGTGAATAAAGCACATGCACACACACACAACACACATACAAGCACACACAAAGCTATAAGATTAAAAGGACTCCTACTCCTTCATGTGAAGGGTACTTTTCACAGCTTGGTCCTATAATCAGTAGTTTGAGAATATAGACTCTTTTTTTCTTACAGATTTTATCACATTTGTCAAAGGTAATTTGATTTGTTTTTTTTTTTTTGTTTTTTTTTTTTTTTGCCTGATTAGATAAGCCCCTTCAAAACCTCTTCACATTCCTTTTCCGCTTCAATATAACAAATCCACAGAAAAAAATCCCTATGTGCAAGTCATGTCACTTGCAACCTTCCATTATGGCTCCATAACACAGCAGCATTTAACAATGGGTCATTATTGCTGTGGGACTAACACTTGATCACTGAGTAACGCAGTTGTCTCCCATGTCCTGAGCATAGCGGTCTGATATTGTAGTCCTTAATTCATCAATGTCTCTTCGTAACTGGCACACATCTGACAGTTTTTTAGTGAGTGTTTCTGTGCTGTGGTCATTCTCAGTCTCTTCAGCTGAACAGTTCATTGCTGTGTAAATAAAATATAAAGAGAATATCTCACATTTTTTTGAACAAAGACATTTTAGAATTTTTCACCTTAATCATCAGTGAGGCTCATGTTTAAATTATGCATCATTCGTTATTAAACATCTTATTCACTTGGTCCTTTATACATTTTGCTAATTAAAATGAATTAAATTCATACAGTGATACACAGAAACTCAGCATGTTTAATGGGCAACAATATTGTCGACCACAGAGAAGTCTAAGTACTAGGAAACCAGATTCATAGTTTAGACAGCTCTGTGTGGCAACAATGTAAAATGGATTAGAGGGAGGAGGTGAGAAAGGTGGTTGTCAGAGAGACCAGTATAGGTGATGGGTTATGAAAACTTAAAACAATAGTGCAATGGAGACAGAATGGCAGGAATGTTAAACATAGTAAGCAGATGACAGAACTAATAGCACACAATCATTATCAATTTGAGTGAGGGGCAGGGATTGGGCACAGGCCCAGATGAAGGAAAAAGCAGAGTGGAGAATCAAATCTGGGTTCAAATGACAGGTGAAAAGGTGGTGTTACTCACTGAGAAGAGGAACAGGTTCAGGGAGGGAAGGAAAGTGGGTTCTGGTTTTGAATGTGTAGAGTCTGTAATGCATTCAAAACAGCCAATTCTAATATACATGAGAATATAATCTGGAGCCCAGAGGAGATAAATGTCTGGGTAAAGGAGATAAGTGTGTAGGTGAAAGGTAAGGCAGTAACAAACAACAGGAGTGTATAAGATCACTCAGATAAAGTACTGAATAAAAAGAAACAGACACAAAACCAGTAACAAAAGGCTTCTGGTGATACCAATAATTAAGTGGCAGAGAAGTCCACAGAAGATAGAGACTGAACAGTCATAAAGGCAGAAGCAGAACCTAGAAAATGATGGCATGGGCACCAAGGTAACGCTGTTTTCAAAAGGATAGAGTGAGCAAATGGAGTCATGAATCAACCAGTTTTTCACAAATCAACTAGCTGGTAAAATTTTTACAATGCCAAATACAAGGTAAGGATTCTGGGGTCAAACTTTAAAGACTAGAAGGAGCACTGAGAGATGGGGGTGGTAAGATTTACATTAGGATAACTCTACTACTCTATTACTGAAAAACGTAACGAAAAATGCTACCTTATGATAGTGAAAATGTAGAAGACCGTAAAGTAATTAAAAGGGTGGCCAACTCTATAATTGTGGAGAAAATGAATTCCCTTTGTGAGCTTTTGCGTCTTGCCCACAAGAGATAAGCACTCCATGCTCACCTGACAACCTTCTCTTCTTCCTCCTCTAAAATTGACACTGAACACTGGCTAATCTGTGGAGTCTCCATAGCCCCTCCCATGTAGATTTAGTTGTTTTTTACCTCTTGAGCTCCCACTGTCCTTTGTCCACATCTCACTTATAGCCCCTATCACAATGCTCTAATAATTTGGTTAATGAGTGGGCAAAGGCTGTGTTCAGGTTATCTGCATTACCAACACCTACTTCGTGTCTGTACCATAGAAGGCATCTGATAAATGTTTACTCCGTGAGTGAATATACTTAATTAAACCTTATGTGTTTTTTCCATATCCACACTTGTGTATGTGTACAAATATCTATGAAGTGAAAGAGAAATAGTTGAGCACAAATACATGTCATTTAACAAGATACGTTTCATTTAACGAGATATACTTTGGTCAACAGCATTATTTGATTTGCCAAAATAACTATTATGATGCAAAATGGTCGAATCTTTATGATAAAAATAGAAACAAAACCAATCTCCCCTCTAGTCATATATTAACCATAGTATTAGGCAGCTACTAAATATACATGGTGGCTCATAAATCTAATTATGTGGTCTTACTCCATTCCTATTTCCTTCCAATTTCATTTCTTCTCTATTAAAAAGAGACTAACGGCCGGGCACGGTGGCTCAAGCCTGTAATCCCAGCACTTTGGGAGGCCAAGGCAAGCAGATTACGAGGTCGAGATCGAGACCATCCTGGCCAACATGGTGAAACCCCGTCTCTACTAAAAATACAAAAATTAGCTGGGCATGGTGGCGTACGCCTGTAGTCCCAGCTACTCGGAAGGCTGAGGCAGGAGAATTGCTTGAACCCAGGAGGCAGAGGTTGCAGTGAGTCAAGATTGTGCCACTGTACTCCAGCTTGGCGCCTGGTTACAGAGTGAGACTCTGTCTCAAAAATAAGTAAGTAAATAAATAAAAAGAGACTAACATCCTAATTTGTAACCACATGCAGAGATGAGCGTTTCTGCAAAATAGCACAGAAAGGGACACTAGGATTATTACTGTGGCAGCTCTCACAATTATGTGTGGAGGAAGACAGAAATGAGGCCAAGAGTGAATGGGTGTCACACTGAAAGGTGTAAAGCCAGCAGGTATGCATGACGAAAGCAACACATCTGTAAGCTGTGAAAACTAGCTCATGTGAAATCACTGGCGCTCACATGAAGCAATTACCATAGAACATATATTGAACTGAAAAGTAAAATATTTCTCTCAGATATTTTACCAGTAGACATATGGCTGGGTCACTTAATCTATGCAACTAACAAACAAGAGCAAATAGAAGGAATCATTATCCTTGGAAGAGTAAATGGAAAGTCATACCTAACTACCACTGTAGTCACATATTTACAGAATCAACATAGGAAACATTACCAGGCATTCTGCCAAGTGGTAGTTTATGTCAGCTATAACCCCACTCACTTCTAGCAATGAAGTAATAACAGGTATATAATAAACCCACAGACTGATTCTAAGTAGGAAAGTAAATTACAAAAATAAGCAGAGAAAAAGCAGTCAGAAGTTCCTGATTCATGAAGGTAGGTTTCAATTGCCACAAAGAACGAACAAGTCATCAGACACTTACATCTTATTCCCAGTAATAATGAAAGATTAGGCTCCTTGCCTTGAGCACGCTGATTAAGAACACTACACAATGCTTTCAAGTCAAACAAACAACAGGACATTTCCTTGAACAGCTGATCAATCACAGTCAAATCAAATAGTGGCCGTTTAGAAAGAACTGTCTGCTGCCTAGATTGGTCAGCTTCCTGGCCCTGATCCAATAAAGAGCATGTCTCATTTGTCTGTCTTTGGTTCTGCAATGGATAAAGAAAACAAACATCAGATTGTTACAATAGAGGAAAGGTACTAAAAGCCATACAGGTTAACATTTTCCCCCAAGTCTATAAACAAAACAGTGGAGTCAAATTATATACACATTAACAAAATTCAATTATATATATGTAATACATATATGGGGAAAAAATACATAGAAAAATAACAATGTAAATAGTGGAAACTGTGTCTCTGTGCCATCTGATACGTCAGTGTATATCCAAGGGAGGAAACATAAATCCAGTTTCAGTTTCTAGGAGTCTCTCACGTAATGAATATGTTGGTTGTGTATGTATTTTTCTTTTTGAGGCCTCACTCTGTCACCCAGGCTAGAGTATAGTGGTGCAATCATGGCTCACTGCAGCCTTTGACCTCCTCGGGCTCTGGTGATCCTCTCAGCTCAGCCTCCTGAATATCTGGGACCACAGGTAAACACTACCATGCCTGGCTAATTTTTGTATTTCTTTGTAGAGACAGGGTTTTGTCCCGTTGCCTAGGCTGGTCTCAACCTCCTGGAGTGAAGTGATCTGCCCACCTCAGGTTCCCAAAACAAAGTACTAGGATTACAGGTGTAAGCCATCACATCCAGCCTGTATTTTTCTATAGTGAGATTTGTTCCAAGGATAAAAAGAACTGCAAAGTAACTTTGAACCTCACTCTGGTTTTTATTTTTAGTAGCAATAGTGATTTAATTACTTTGAAACTACTTTTTGCTTATTGGTGGGGCAAAGCATCCATGTTAATGTTGATAGGAACCAAAAGTTTCAGTGTAAGAGACAAAGAAATACAAAAAAATTTGGCATAAAACCAAAGAAGAAAAAAAAAAACCCCAACGATTATGAATTGCTGACCCCCAAAACTAATACCATCTTATCCTTAAAACTGATAATTAAAGGTAACTTTAATTAGTTTTCCAATTGGAACTGTATTTCAGAATAACCCAAGAGCCTAGGATGATGAGGAATAAACTTTTTATAGATGAATGGCAGCTAATAATATAATAAATATATACTGTACTATAAATACATGAAACTGTATTCTAAAACACAAGAGAAAGGTTTATCTTTTTATAATAATTTTGGTAAGAAAGAATGGATTTAACTACAGGGATATCAAAATCACATCTTCAATCTGAAAATGCTCTATTAATATTTATAAAATAAGCATCTGCTTAAATAGGTAGCAAATCATCCTTTCAAAGCAAACTGAATTTCTTCTACTCACTTCAAGCAATGCTTTTGTTAATCTCTGTAGGTTTCTTTCTTTCTTTTCTAGCTCTTCCGTCATCTTCTGAGTGGTCACCTTCTCTTTAGAAAGCTTTCCTTGCATAGACTAGAATTTTTTAAAAAAATTGGAAAGCAAAACAGGTTAACATGTAAAGAAAAATCTCAAATAGAAATAAGCAGAAATGTTGTCTCTGAATACTTTAGATCTTCTTTCCTCCCTATTCCCTTGGAAGATGAAGTCTTTACTTTTAAATTAATCCATTTTAGAGAATGGCTGATTACAAATAAAAAAGAAAAAGAAATGCCAGTTTTCCAGAATACATTTGAATTGTTTTAATTATAATTTTTACCAAGAAGTTTTTAATTTGTATAAACATTCAAATCTGAAGTTCCTACTTAATGCTGTATTACAAACAGTTTTTATTTCATTAACTTTTTATATGTTGGGAGTGTATTTGCAACAAGTCTATGCTTCTTTTGTTTTACATTTGCTTATGGTTAATGAGATGCAAGATAATAAGATCATTGTATCATTTCTATTTTCTATCATTTGAAACATAGCTCCTGTCTTTCAGTGTATAGTATTCCAGCAGTGAATATACTGTGAACTCCAGTCAAAGGTCTATTATGGGAATTTGATAAGCTAATCTCCTTCTTATTCCTTATAAAATTGCGAATTATCTAGACATGACAATATTATGAGAACACCAAAGCAGCATAAAGGACATTTTAAGAGTCTTACTTAGTCTTACTTTTCCCCTATATAGTAAAAGAGAAAACTGCCATACATTCTGTAGTTATTAGTGAATTCTAAGTGTTTCTATCAACTAGTTTCCTTTTGTTAGACCACAAAATCAATATACATATGACCAGAAGAGAGGTATCACTTTATTTCAGGTCTGTATTTAGTCTCAACTCTGACAATGCTTCAGTATGCTGACTCCCCAAATAGTACACATTCTACTCTAAATATTTTTTCCTCACATTATCTTTGGATGGGGTAAGAGAGAAGACAGCTATCACCATGGGTTAAAATAAGACTATAAATATAAAGCAGTTTTATCGGTAACATATAAAACTTGTTGCTTTTAAATTTCATTTGTCTGCTAAACTCTGAAAAAAAAATTACACTTAGTAACTCAGAAATTGAAAAGAAACGAATCAAACTGTATAACAAGTATATTTCCTTCCAGGGAAAAGTTGTTCTATATTTCACAAAAATTAATCTCACAGCACAAAGTTAATATGGGGCTCTCTGAATATGTGCTCTCTGAATAACTGAAAATTGAAATTTCCTTTGTAACTTCATTAGATTGAATCAAAACCTTATTTGATTAAATGAACATGGAGATTTATTCACCTAGCTGAAGAGCTATGCTTTCCGGCCTGACAAGATTATTTGGCTGGAATCCAAAATTCAACCTAAATTCTCAATATTTGTGACTGTTTATTAGAATTACAGAAGAAAGGCATCACAGATACACTACTCAAACTCACATTCAAACAATAAAAATTAAACCCAAGAGGGGTGTTTTCACAATATAATTAATATAATATATATAACAGAATTATAGTAATAGTGACACATTATAACAGAATATAATTCCGTAAAAGTTAAGAATGTTTTGTATTTTTACCAATTCAGAGTCATTTGAATGTGACTAATAAAACCGACTAATATGTCCCTATGTAAGACTGATTTTTAATCAGTGCAGAAACAGGCAATCTTCTCCATCAGAAAAACTGAAAATGCCTGGCAGTAGTACCATTTATCACAAAAAGGAAAATCATATTTCTTATATGTTGCTTGGGTTCAAGGTAGTTACCAAGAAGAAACTTGGTCTTGCAAGTGCTGTACAACTTTTAGGATAATACTAGGTATGAATGCTATTGTCTGACAATAACTTTTCACCTAAAACATTAGTTATTTCTCTATCCTAAATTGTATTAAGAAGTATGTGTTTAAAAGAAAACAAGAAATTCCATCAAGAATAAATGGTGTGTATTACTTTACATAAATACTTTTTGCAAAGCATTTTTTTGAATCTCTTAAGATGTTAAAATATACTTGCTCAAACTGGTAGTACTCCACAATGCATAAATGAAATATCTCATATTTTCTGAAATAAGTGTTTAGCTTCTTGAATTTCACAATAACTCTCTGTTTATCATTCAGTAGAGATGGAGATTAACAAAATTAAAAATCAATTTACAAACACCTATATTAGCTCTTTAATTCTCAGTTTAATCAAGACATTTTAAAATTCTGCTAAGGAACTAACCCACAAGGTCTTTATTATGATCATGTTTGAAGTTGAAAAGTGGTTTTAAGCACATTTGTTTTTCTATATAAGTATCCAGAAATGTCCCATTTACAAATAGCTCAAATGAGGAAAAACCAGGTGTGCCTTAGTTAGCAGATTCTATATAATCCACAAACCCAATTTAAGAGGAATTATTTTGAAAGAAAATTTCTGTTAACATTTTTACTGCATATATACATATACATACATAAGCATGCATACCATATAAGAAATTCACAAGCACATTCCTTCATGCAATCATTCTTTCAGCAAAAATCATTGCCAAACACTGTTCTGTGCATTGAGTGATCAGTGAACAAAATAGTCAAAACTCTTGGCCCTTGCGGAACTTTACTAGGAGAAAAAAGACCAAAAGAAATAAAATAAATATGTAAGTTACACAGTGTCATATATTAGAATTTGACTAGTTCTGTGGAGAACAAACAGAGCACAGTAAGGGTCAGGAGGTTGAAATCTCATGTAAGCAAAGGCTTGAAGGAAGTGAGAGATTTTGTCCCACAGATATCCAGAGAGTTTATCAGCACAAAGGTTCTGGGACAGATGGTGTCTTCTGTGTTTGAGAAAAATTAAGAGAGCCAGGATTGCTGAGAATAGCAGGAGAAAGAGTCAGAGAAGGAAGGCAGCCTGCAGAACAGATTGTACAGGGCCTCATAAATCAGCATAAGAACTCTAATTTTTATTCTGGAAAAAATGAGGATCCACTGAAGAGTTCTAAGCAGAGACATGATGTAATCTGATTTTTGCTTAGTAGGATCACTTAAGCTAATGAGAGTATACTGAGCACAGGCAAGGGTAGAAGCAGAAAGAAATAATCCAGATGAGAAAGTGTCAGATACAGTAAGTTCCTCTTCAAAGGTTTAACTTTCAACTTCCTTGTTCTTTATTCTTGAGATCAACTTCCTTGTCCCTTTCCTAAGCTACCCATTCTGTAAACTGCTCCTTCTGCTGAAGCTACCCTTCCCAACTTCGCTGAGCCCTGACATGCCCCAACGTGCCTTGTGCCTTTAAAGAACCTCTCCCTTCCTGCCTGATTAGCCATATTCAATTTCAAATACTAGCTAATTGGGTTATGTTAGACTGTGTGGTCGGTCTCCAGCCAATGGGAACAGGACACAGAAGCCAGGGACTAACTGCATTAGGGATTAAAAACCCCTTCCCTCCTTTGTTCAGAGTGCTCTGATAGCAGCCAGAAGGGCGAGCAGTACCCTTCTGCAGAAGTAAATTTGCCTTGCTGAGAAATCTTTTGTCTAAGTGCTTGTTTCCTTTGTGACTCCAAGCTCTTATTGCCAAAAGAAGGAAAATGGCTTGGAACATGGTGGTAATGGAGGAGGCATGGAGAAGAGGTCAGATTCTAGACATACTTTCAAGGTAGGAGAATTTGCTGACAAATGTGAGGTAAGTGAGGAGTCAAGGATAAGTCTAGGATACCTGGACTGAATTAAGTAGAAGGGCAGAGTTGCCCTTAATAGGAAGTCTGAAACATATAGCAGAATGTTTATTTTGGTGGTGGGGAAAAAATTTTAAAAAGCGCCCCCTTTTTTTGGTTTTATGTTTCTAGGACTCTAAGACAACATACAGCTGAAATTCCTTTCTTAAGTTAGTTACCATCTTGTAACATCATAAAACTTTAAGAACAATTTTGCTTTTAGCATGACAGTGTGAGGAGCTCCACAGATCCACCCCTCAATGAAATTGGTGAATGTTATAATTTAAAATTTCTGGAAATAGTCCTAAGAGCTAGCAAATGAAGAAACATTTACTCAAGAAAATCTATTGAAACTCAGTAAGAAGAGTAAGAGACTGGTATTTGAAACAAAATTCTGCTTCATAAAAGGATTCTAGAGGAAAAAACTGAAACAAAACTCAACTCCATCTCTGCCTTCTCACATCTCATTGGGATGGAAATTCTACTCCAGACTGATACAGCCAATAACACAGGGTACCCTCTCCTTACAGCCCCCAGTTAAAGAGCTCTCTTCCCAGAAAAGATAGGACATCAACATTTATCATCCTGTTCATAGCTACCTGTAGCAAAGGCTGTTTCAGGAAAGTACAACCAAGAGGTAGAGGCATCCTTCTACTCATATCCCCTTATGGGATGGAAGCTTACGTAGAGTTCAGAACCCTTGATCCTTGCCCCCAGCCTGTGGGGCATTGTTTCTATGGAGGAGAGGCAGGTCAAAAAGACCCAACTCCCTCCAGTGAGTGTTCAGCTACTAGAGTGGAGGTATCATTCAGAAGCTTTTCATTGTCCCCACACCAATTAGCCTGGCTTAAGAGATTTTGCCTGAAGAAAAGTAGGCCATAAAACTAGAAACTCCAAAAGTCTCTCTATAGGGATTGACTTCATTTGCAACAATGTGAAGGTCAAGGCTTAGAGCACTCAAAAAATTGGTGGTTGTGGTGAAAGGCAGTTGGCAGAACACTTTTAGCCCTGTAGGCTAAATCTAGAGACCAACTACTTTCCCAGAAAGAAACAGTGAGATAGCTGGGAAGAATACTCCTGAGGTCAGAACAAATCTCAAACACTAACCTAATGAACTATCCCTTCAAAAGAGCTACAGTGGATCAGTTTGTGAAGCAATTTATGCCACAGGGCATTGTTGAAAACAACAGCATGAAAGGATGACAATTGGTGGAGCTTAACAACTGGATATGGTCAAGAGTCACAAAAGACCATATATACATTTGTATGAAGTGTTTAAAATAGGTGTATGTATGAAGATGGGAAGTAGATCAGGGGTTGCTTATGGCTGGAGAAGTGGATGGGGGCTTAGCGAAG